TGTTGCTGCATGACTCACTTTATGTTTACTTCCAGTGTACTGACAGAGGTCCAGACATTTTATCGTTCCATTTCCAAGTATGATTCAGAATGAAGGGATATTTTATTCCTTAAAACAGCCACACAATGATGGGAGCATTTAAGTTATTTAACAAAACAAACTGAACTGTGAAGCTCATTGATTTGCTTCCAGTTACATCTATCATTTATCCATGATGAAATTGGTTATTTCTGAAAAAAGCAAACTTGTAAATCAGCAAATAGATTTCTTCCTTTTGTCTTTTAAACCAGATCAGTGGTACAATTAAATCAAGATTAACTAGGAATATCCCACAATCACATATTATGAAGTTATTTCTTCAAAAGACCAAAACTGAGTCCCCTGGCTCTAATTTTACCATTAAAGTAGATTTTAATATCACACATTTAGGCTTTTTTCAGTCATAAATATGCAATTTTGGATCGTTATCTTGTCTATCTTTTAGGGAGTCTGAAAATCAGATAAAACTTTGAGGCATGGCTGTGGATCAAAGAGGTCCGTTGGTTTTAAGCTGCTTATTTACAGGACCCTGATGTGCAAGGTCTCACAAGAAAGTTTGTATTCTTTGATCAAAGCCCTGATCTCACTGAGGTGCGCCAATAGACTCTGCTTCCAAGGATGGAATTTGGCCTGGACCCCTATAACGCTTTGAGGTAGGCAAGGTCCAAGGTAACCCAATGATGAGAGGGAAAAAAAAGAAAGATTATCTGTATTTCCAGAGTTAAACAGCGTGAAGCAGAAATAAATTGGCAAAGCTGTATTTCAACCTCAGCAGTGAATTGAGAAGCTGAAGAGGCAGTAAGTAATGAAGCAGGCCGGCAACAATGATTGGCATTCCTGATAAACACAAATTACTGTGAGAAACTGGCCAAAAGCAGGTCGCCTGCACCCTGGGTGGTTTCATGTTTTGTCAGCAAGTTCCCACCTCAGATTTTTGCCCATTTTGTTTGTTCTGCCATTCATTTGTTTGTATGCTCATTTATCAAGTCAGAGAATAATGGATTTCAGATTCCATGTTGCTGATTCAGGGGTTTTGCAGCAGCATAGAGAAACGCATTCATCTATCAAAGGGCACGTCCTTTTAAAAGCCAGACATATGGAAAAAAAATCTGTTCCTGCAGATATAATGGACATCTTCTTAATTATTACTGTGATTTTTTTTTTTATTCTGAACCTTTAGTCACCAGACGTCTAAACCAATTAAATCAAAGGTCTGTTACTGGACTAGAGGAATAAAAAATGTACTACATTCCTCCTACAACAGCTTGTCACTTCAGTCAGGCTCGTCATCATCTGCAGCCACGGACATGGACAAATGACCTGGAACCAACTAGAAAAATCCCATTTCATCCAGAATTTAACACTGCAACCTGGCTCACCTCACAGCTAACAACATAGCCCAGAGAAACCAGCTATTTCAATCGCTCCAGTGTGTTGTGTAATCACATGATGATGTATTGTGTGAAGGTTACGGTGTGAGATTGGGGCCCCTTGGAGCTGTAATTCCCCATCGGCTGTCCCAAGTAATTTTTCTGGTGTCCGTTTCTGTTATTTGCCAGCTTGAAATGAGTGGATTTCTCCAAATGATCTGTGCATTTCAAGCTGTGATGATGAGGGATTTTTTATAAATAAATTACAGCCAATGTACGAAACTACAGCTATACGTGCAGGGTGAGGAGCTTTTTCTTGACTGATCAAACTCTGTCATAGCAAGAGTGGAATAAATGAATATAGAGTCATTCCTTCATGAAACGAGTCTTGTGGGAGTGGATATAGAGGAAGAAAGATGAATGAGCAGGATTTACGGTCCAGCTGGGGGTAATTTAACTTTTTAATGAGCCAATGCTCATACAGCCCAAAAGCTTAAGAAGATGGGACTGTGCTGAAAGTGAGAAAAAAATGTAAAATAACCAATACTCTCAGTTACTCTGATTCTTTAGTAGACGTAAACTTTTAGATGTTCTGCATTACATCGGTCTTAGTCATTACCAAACATCACTGGGCATTACTTTTCAGCCTATGAGGACATTTTTATTCTGGCACCAGAGTGCACTGCCTGTGTGGAAAAGGAGAAGATAATAAAGTCTTATTACCGCAATGTGAACCGAGGGGCTCAATATTTATATAAACTCAAAATTAACTCTATAATACCATATGTTTCATATGTGATACTTACAGTTTCCTGTTTTTCAGACATACCTGATATCAGCTGCCAGAAGACTAAATGACTATATCACACATTTTGACTTATCACACATTAATTAAGTATAAATTATTGAATAAAATTTAAAATTTAAAATAAGTTAGAATTAGAATACTTTTTTTCACATTTTGTTAAAGTGCCAAATAATGACTTAAGACTAAAAAAATGATACATTTTCTCTCCATTTCTTTTCTTCAATCAGGGATTAAACGATTAATTTGTCCAATTCCATGAAAGTGTAAGTACATATAATAATCACATTAAATAGAAACGGAAGAAGTCGACACTCCAGTCTAATAAATTCAGAATCGGTGTACAGCTATGGCCCTCCTCTCTCGGTTTTGAACTCCACCGTCTGTTTTGCCTCCTGCTTCTCAGTACTATGGCTGGGTTAGGGCTTCGCCCAGGGCAGGAAGCAGTATTAATAAGACATACTGCCTTGAAAAGGCATAGATCAGAGGAGAAAACACTGCCCTGGGCAGATACACAGTGAGTGAAGGTAGAGTAGAAGAGAGAAAGCAAGAACGAGGCTGAAGGGAAGACATAATGCCTAGGGTACTGTAAGAGAACATCTCTTTGAAAGAGCAGAAGAGTTGGAGAGTTGAAAGATGGATGATAAGGTCTAAAATGATGAGTTTAGCGGGAGGGCTTATATGGAAGAAGCAATGAGAGGGATTTGTAAAATCTGTGGAACATCCAAGGTGTCTTTAGGTATAAGATTAGTAAATCGGTGAGAGATAAAGCTGAAAAAGTTACCTTAAAGAGATCCAGGTCTCTTAGTTCAGCCCCAGCATGAAAACAGTGAGTCAGTCCATCTCTCTGACCCCCGACTTCTCTTATCACTCAGTAAGTGTCCCAACTTTGCAATTATCTTCCCTTATGTAAAAGCAGGCTGCTTATCAGGATGCCGAACAGAGTCAAACGAAAGCAACGCCTCCGGGTGGAAAAACAAAAGACGCAGCCTTTATTTATCACCATGATATCCATGAAGGAGTCCATTTTACACCCTTGTTAGCATGCCAGTGGTTTTTAACAAGGAGACAAAAGCTGTTGAGAGGACATTTGCCCATGCCAATCTAAAACTGTCTGAAACTGCTATCCCAAGCACGTTCTGTATTAAAGCCATTGTGATGGTAATTTTGTCACCTCTAATGGACAATTAGATATGCTAGCAGATAGAGAGGACTCTGCATAACAATTTCTGGGTTCTAATTACCTCGCCAAATGGCGTGGTTGTTCGTGCGCCTATGCATCACTAAAGCAATAAGTCGGAGGGCCACAGATAGATTGAAGGTGAAAAGGGGCAGTTGCCATATTAAATGTAACCTGCTCTGATAAAGCCCTGATAGATGAGAAGCAGCATGAACTTTCATTCATTTGTCAAATGAAGGCCCCTTTGAAGAGCGTTGAACTCCCTGCTGGAGGCACTTGTACCGAAACAAACCCATTTATTTCACATTATATCATATTAGGGAAACCCGATTTTTTGGGGGGGGAGTATTTGATAATTTACATTTTATCACCCACAAAAAAGTGAGCAAATACCTTTGGTTAAAGCAGGAGTCAGGACACGGAAACAAACGCTCATGTGGAAGTTTTATATCACCCTACAATCCTTGCTGTTTTCTGTGTTGGCCACACTCATCATTGCCATTAGGGAGCTTGTAGATGATTGTAATACTTGTTGAAAACGTTGATTTTGTGCGCTGATGGATCTTGGATAAACCTGACTTAACATCCCATTGCCACTTAATAAAGGTATTTCTTAAAAATGAATTCAGTTGTCTGTGTTGATGACTAACGCTATTTTTCTCAGAAACAAAGAAACATTCAGATCAGTTCTCTCATACAGAATACAGATTCCGTACAAGCCAACTTATCCCAACTGATCTATTTTTCAAGTTTTATGAAGGAGCTCATCTCCCTCTCCACTGGTTCTTCACTAACCTATCTTTTTACTTGGACAAATCCCATCTTTTAAATGACCTTTCATGCATGAAAAGTAGATCATTTGTGAAATTGTTCTTTTGAGAATTGACCAGATTTTCTTTTTGGCCTCCCTCGCAGCCGCATATTTTTAGTACCGAGCTGCTGCTGGTACACTTGCAGATGCTTTAGTAAAGTGTCCTTTTGTGCTGGTATTGATCTGGCTTCTTGCCGTTGAAAACAATGTACATAATAGTAGCATTCAAATAGTTGAAACCAGCTCATCCTCAACCTGATTTCAGATACTGTTCAAACAATCCTCATCCTGATTTCAGACATGGTTCAAACCAGCTCATCCTGATTTTAGAGACCTTTCAACCCAGTAGATCTTGGCGTTTTTGGTGCTGTGTCTCTACCCAGCTCCTACTTGTGGAAGGAAATCCTCCACAAAACATAAACCCTTTCACTTAAGGTAGATGTTTAATCTTGAAATAATCCTAATTTTCTTCCACCATATGCTCTTTTCTGACTACCATCGGGCATAGCATCAATGATAATCCAAGAGCTGAAACCTTAAATATAATGCTATAAAGCTACGTGGTAACAGTAAAATAAAACACCATTGCTCCTGATTTAGAGTCCAGAAGAGGACTGAGTCATCATCATCATCATCACCTGGTTGTCCTGGTGGAGGATCTGAGGGATGCTGTAGGCTTTAAAAAGGGTTGAGGAAAAACTGGATAATTGAGTTATTTCTTTCCTCTCTTTTTGAAATGGCCTGACTAACTTGGCCCTCATTAATCTGCTTTCCGTCTCCCCTCTCTCCGTACAGGTAATGAGCTCTTATACCGGAACCGTAACGGAGATGTCGTCAAATTCAACGTCGACACAGATGAGCAAACAATCTTGGTGCATAACAAGAAATTTGTAAGTAATTTGTCACTTATTATTCCATTTCTCTCTGCTCTTTATGTCCACGGGACTCAATGGCTGAGTATGAGTGGCCGTGAAATAAATTAAAACTGGTTCAGGGTCATAAAATCAAAGCCAGCCAGAGCCCTTTTTTTTATTACAGAACTTAACCAAACGATCCATTATCCCGCTGAAATGTGGCCAGCGCAGACTTTGGGGCTTGGCTGCAAAACGTAATATAGAGATGTAGCAAGAGTGTTGCTTTGGGTTGGGTGAGGATGCACAACATTATGTCTGCCATCAAATCACGTAGCCCCAGTGCAAAGATTAATGTAACCCCCATTTGCTGCAGGAGCCGAGCAATCCGTCAAAGGCGGGCATTTAAGGACTGCTTTAATGAAAACACCACGCATGGTTAAAGGTCTCATCTTTTTGTCTATGTACTTTTTTCTCCAATGCATCTTTTTTTTTTCTGGTTCCCTAGGAAATGTACAAAGCCAGCAAGTACGAGGTGTCCCCCGACATGAAGCACGTGCTGCTGGCCTACAACGTCGCTCCGGTGAGCTTCTTATTTGTTTTTGCTGGTTTTTTGAATTAGCAAACTGACAGCAAATATGTCAGGTGCTTCAGACTGTTGGGGAGTTGGGTGTGGGGGGGGGGGTAGCCAGTGGAGTGTAGGGGAAAGGAGGGAAGGAGGAGAAAGTAATCACGGCAGGTTTTGAAGCCCTGTCGCACACCGCCGCCTGTCAGCCAATGGCGGCGGGGGCCAGCACAGCCAACCATCACCGTGGCAAGGGAGGCAGAAACACAAACAAACCCCTCGGCGCCACGTGGGCTCGCCGAGACGGAGATTAGATTGACAGCGAGAGGAGGAGGCATCGGCTCGGAATTTATCACACCTCTGCAGTCGCGGAATAAAGTGTCCCGCGACTGCGGCAGCTCCGCTGGCCCCCGTGATATGCATCAAAACATTTCGGCTCCTAATATACGCAAATCAGATATATTGAAACATTTGGCCGGCAGGTATTTGCGTGTGTGTTTTTATCCTGCCTCGCCGAGACGCCGTAAAGAAAAATGGCTCCCGTTGTTAGTCTGTGAAGGAAGTCTGGAGATATTTAATCTTGTTTTATTGCCTGAGATAAATAGAAAAAATTATGACACACTAGATTGTGTTGTAGCGCATGTGTTTGCATTTATTATCCATCCAGGTCTCTATCGCTTTGATAGATGACAGTTACTCCTCCAATATCTTCACTGTAGCTGCACACAATCAAACATTCGTGAATGCTTATCTCTGTAATATGTTGTGAAGATCAAATGCATATTAAACACTGTGCTTGCAAATCTTGAATGTAAATGTGAATGTGTCCCAAGTGGAAAGTGACTTATTACATTTGCACACCCCTCATGAATAGAGAAAGGAGGCATATCTAGAATATAAGAACATGTAAGAGCTGCCAGTGCATGCCTCCCCATCGATATTTGGGAGTTTAAGCATTTTTTGTGTTTTCCCCATAATGTCAAATTGAATGCACACATCATTATGCACTTGGCTCATAACGGATCTGCTTTAGTATCTCCTGGAAACATCTCTCATGCGCAGCATCTGTTGTGTTGGAGAGATTTGAGCAGAGCCCTGCATGGGAGTCAGAAAGCTGAGAAGGACGTTTCATACCGATACTTCCTGTCACAGTGGATTTACTTTCATTACCAACTGGTTATGGTGTTAAAAGATGTTTTAAAAACAGATCAGCATCCAGAGTCTTACACCTATCATCATATGTAGCATGTAGATTAGCATTATCCTGCAAGTATATATGAGGTGTCCATGTAAAAGACTGGATGAGTCCACATGTCACTCCTAAACCAGCTTTAATGGAATGGTTCCAGATGCACTAATCCAGTCATACCATCAGAGATGCAGTTTCTTTTTAAGAATCATGCGTTCAGAACGATCTGGATGGTTCTCCGTGCTATCCAAAAGAGGATTTCATATCTTAGTCTGTCACAGAGCAGTTTTTCAATTTGCCACAGTCCATATTAAATGAGTTTGTGCCCAGAGACCACACTGGTATTTCTGGTAATTCTGGAGTTTGTCCCCATATGGACACTTTAAAGGAGTTTTCATGCGGATCACCCTGTTTACAGTGGCAAAGTTTCTCGGTGTTCCCATGGAGATCACAAAGGTCACAGGCATCCAGTGGAATATTAAAAGCCTTATTTTACATTTAAGGACATTGTTGTGTAATCAGTTTGTCCACAATTACTTAGTTGTTGGGGGTGAAAGTGTGTGACAGCTGGAACACAAGGATGGGCTTTAAAACACAAGTGATGCTGTTACTTATGGAAAATATATATCTTACATCATTCTGTCAGAGCTTTTAAAGAGCACTGACATACTGTTCACAGTCTGTTGTCTGTTAGGTTGGATATTATAATGGAGACAATGATGTAGTTAATGAAACCACATAAACATTTAATAATGAGATTCTGAGAAAATGCAGTGTAATTAAAATATTTCTGAATAAATGTTGAACACGTGAATGAATCGTAAATATAGCTATCTAATGCATCAGTGCAGTAAAATGAAAATATTAAACCGCTGGACATTCTGGGGGAGTTGAGTTCTTCTAATCTTTAATGCAGAAAATATGCAATGGCATGGATTAATTTGACCTCAGAGGCCAAATATTTTAATACCAATTATTATTATTAATATATTTTTTTAATACATTGTGGTCCTCAGTGTTAATCTTACTTTTGTGTTTTTTGTCATTTTCAAAAATGAAGCTGTTCTGATTTAATCTCATTTGAACAACAACAAAAAAAGAGCAATAAATCATCAGAGATTAAAATGAGTTCAGATTTAGTGGTTTCGTGTAATTCCTTCCGTGCTTCTGTTTCCAGGTTTACCAGCATTCCTACACAGCCTTCTACATCATCTGCAGTCTGGAAACTCCGTAAGTGGGCGTCAGGGCTGCCTTCTTCCATTTTCACTCTATTTTATCATGTCATCCTGTAATATGTCACTCGACTTTGCCTGACAGAAACTCATTCACACTTTTTGTCACAACTACCACCCACAAAGCACCTTGAATCAACTACTCTGGGAACTTCCAAACTCCAACAAAGGCCGCCTCTCAGGGGAAAAAGGGCTATCGTGTAATCTGTGGTCTCAAACCGCTCCCGGAGCCACAAAACACATGCAGATCTTATCCACCTCTGCTCCCTCCACATTAGCTCTGTAACAACAGACTTTAAAGTGAAATCAAATATTGATTCTACATTCAGCAGAGAGATTTTCACCATATCCAGCCTGTTTTCCCTTTCGTAGCTTCTTTTGTCCCACAGCATTGAGGACAAAATGGCTTTTTAAGGAGACTTCATTATGCTCAAAATGAATGCCGCCCCATTGGATCTGATCTGAATATTGGTTTGTTAAAATGCTTGGAGAGAATATCAAGAATTGCAGACAGGTTTTCTCCCCCCGAGGCAAACCCATCCTGACTGATCCTCATTTTTTCCCATTAAAAGTGAATGGAATTGTAAGTGTTTATTATAACACCAAATGCCGCTTTCCATCTGGACAAATCGGCTTATCAGCTGCTTCAACATGTTTGCAACCCCTTTAAAAAGAAAAAACTCTTTTCAGCTGACTGGGCAGAAGAATGACTGATTTAGAAAAACAGGAAGATAAAGATGACACATGTCTTTGACAATTTAGGCAATATTTCCTTTTTATTTGTGACTTTCACAGCTTATGATTAGTTGAAAATAAAGCCAGCAGCAGAGGCTCAGGCCCCCTGTGGCACATAGTAACACCCCCCATGGCGAGCATCATGACTCGCAAACTATTTTTGGAGCAGCCACAAGTCTTTCATATGTTGTTTTTTGGATTTTCACCAACTCTTCCAGCATAATGCTCTCAGCTCTGAGATCCTGCAGCTGTGTGGCATCCTACTTTTGTAGAGCTCCATCCACAGGCACTCAGTGGCACCTCTATCCAGCCCAGTTCCTTAAAGTTGTATACCCAAGGATAAAATAAATGCACCATATTTTTTAGTTTTTAATTAAGAGTTGTGTCTTCTGTTGGAAATCTAATACATGCACATCGAACAGGCATCCATCTGTGATGTTCATGCCAAACTTTTTAATGTTTGTAATTGTTGTAGCAGTCATGGTATCATGGACCGACGTGCCTTTGGTTCTATTTGGGTGTCTTTTTGTAGAAAAACCGATGTGCACGGTCTATTTTTTTGCTCACCAGAATTAATCACCTGGAATCCAGAAAACAATCATTTTGATCTCACTGATTGTTTTTAACTTGTAGCAGTTTCAAGCTTATGTCTGAGGAACTTTTAGAAATTGAATGTGTTGCGTTTATTTTACTTGAATGTTTTTTATTTGGGTCTCTACATAAATCATTTGCGTTTACTTGGACTTTCTCAGAACTTGCTTTTAAAATTTATTAAGACATGTGAAATGTTCATTCAGGAAACATCAGATTTTGTGGCAGGACACAGAAACGTGGGACTGTTTGCACAGCTTGGACGGTGCACTGCCATTCAAGAGTTCCCACCAGTCAAAAACAGGATTTGATTAGCTCCTTTTAGCTCTCCTTTGACCCACTCTCTTAATGGGAAAAGCTTTCTTAGTCTCTCAGTCTTTAACTTGACCTCTAAGTTACTGTTAACTTCCTTTCTGTTAATTAAGTAGTGAACTTCTGTGCCTTTTCCCTCTCTACTTTTCATTCAGACTGCGAGGCAGCTGCTCAGACAAAGGCCTTAGGAGCTAATTCTAAAGCTTTTAAATTTGCATCCTGTCTCCTCTCCTAAACTTGTCTGTGAACAGACCTCAACAGGCTACGTGCGTGAAACCATGATTAGGTCCAATGGGATGCTCAAACTATTGTGTTCAGCTCAATAAAAAATGATCAAAACAAAAGTTCAACTCTCAGAGATCTGTTCATCATCTTCATGCCGCATTCATTTCCTGTGCCTATCAGGCCACCAACATGACTCGTTATTGAAAAAAAAGTCAAAGATAAAGCATGTAAAACATATTTACATGCTGCCACCGTGTGGTAGTGCTCAGAAAACCCCTCACTGATGACCTCATTCATTTTTCTGCTCTGGACAGAGACTCTAATTCAGCAGCCTGCACCATGCAGCACTTTTTTCCAATAAAGAGAAGTGACACACTTACACCACAGTGGTGTTTATGTACTCACTTAAGCCTGTTTTCTCAGATGTTCTACATTTGTTTCAGTCCTGGAAGCAGCCACACAAAGTGAGTTTGTGTCCAGATGTATTTCTTTCTGTCCCATTAAGTGTTTCCCACTATCTGTGCACCCCAGAGAGACGTGGAACCTAAATCCTCCAGAGGTTCGGAATGCTCAGCTGCAGTACGCCGGCTGGGGACCTCAGGATCAGCAACTGGTAATACACCATTTTATTCCTCGATCATCAACAATGATTCATAGCTAAAATACAAAAAGAAGGAAAGTATGATGTCCGTCACACTTTATGGGTTTTATTTATTTTCCTTTTCTTTAAACTGCCCCATGAATGAGAGGAGATTGACCCGGTGATGGATGCAGCTGGAAGATCCAAAAGATTTGTTTTAACCTAGATTGGGTTAGCTGCTCCTTTCCACACAAATTAAAGGGATTGTGTAGTATTTTAAGTATTTTATTAGCTAAAATAATTTTCTTCATTTATAAATGGGTCCTCATTTGGTGTAAAAATACCTTTGCAATAATCTGATTTCTCCTCATAATTTCCTATCTGTGTATACATAGGACGGGTAAGTCCACGGAGGTTTGGTCGTTCCGCCATTTTGAAAAACTATAATCGCAGAAAGGGACATAAAGCACTAGTGTACCTGTCTAGCTATTCCACAATGTGTTTTCGTTCAGAGAGTCACGTGACTGAAACCAGCTATGATAAGTGAGAGGCGCTTGCTTATCTTGTTCGAGCAGTGATTACATGCTCATGCCAGCGATTCAATGTAGTTTGTAATTTCTTTTAAATTACAAACCTCATCACCCGAGAGAAAACTCGATGATGTGGAAGTCATTACTTCTTGATGCATGACAGCTGCAATACCCATTTGAAAACGCGAGGCACTAGAGAGCACGATTTGATAGAATGCAAAATACAATTTCACCGTTAGATGGGAGAAAATTCCTACACAGTGTACCTTTAAGATACTGACCGGGCTAGTGGAGGATATCCTCAGATCTCCAATCACTTTCCTAGAAGATTGTGTAGTTAGAGCCAAGTCATATAATACAATAGGAAAGGGGATTTTCATGCTATACTGTTGGTTTGTCATGTCCTGTAAGAAGTGAGGCATCGTCATGATACTGACATTTCCCAGAAAAAAATTCCAACTCAAACTCTGTTGTTAGAATCAGAGGAAGCAGAGGTGCTTTGTAACTCCTCTGAGACAAATGGTCCTCCGGCTCAATCACCACACAATCAAACTAGTCAAAGCATTAATGAAGCTTTAGTGTGCAGGTCTGCAGGCCAGTCAGAACATAAGCGATTACATCCCGCAGCAAAATACTATTAATTACCTGTAATCGTTTCAGAGGTTTAATTAACACAGTTGTTAGATTGATGCCAGCCTCGTGTTTTCCACCATCAGTCTTTCACCTTTAGTTCTAGCAAGCAAGTTATTTTAGCATTAATCAGCAGCTGGTTTCCCTGAAGGTTCAGGTTCAGGGGTCCCCCGTGTAAGAGGTCGAGGTTGGAGGGAGAGATGTCAATCAGCTAAAAGAAGCCAACCCAGGCTTTTTGCCAAAGCCCGTGTTGTCATATGTACGCTTTAATCTATGTAAATCCACCCACCTGTCATTCTTTTCCCAAATCCCTCATGCAGTTGATTAAACCTCCTTCTAGTCCCCAGCTGAGAGCCATGTCATGTATGTCCATGACCAAACAGCTGTTCAGCTTCATGCTACATTATTTGTCTGGCTAAACGCTGTAAAATTCATTGGCATCTTAATTTAACGGCAACAATTTCGTAAAATGGCCCCAGATTTATTTTTTTGGGCTAAAAAATAAACCCTCCATCTAAGAGCAGAATAAGCCACAATCCTTAAAGAAGGAGCTAAAATGTTGGTTCATATTGGAGAGGCAGAGAGAAATAAACTACAACCCTGACTTTGTCCAAATCACATGGGTTTTCTCTTCTCTTAAACTGTGTGTTATTTCTCTGGTCACGTCATTCTAAGCTTATTCTGGCCAGGCATTAAAGGGTTGTTGTGAATTCAATCGTGCCCTTTCCTTAAAGTGGGCGCAGTTAGCTCGTCCGTTTGTCCAAAAGCTGCTTTAATGTCGGGTTTGTGTCACATTAAACGACTCACACACAGAACTGTTGAACCTCTGTTTGTGAACATTTTGCTGTCAATTCTGTATGAGCAGAATCCTATATATGATGAGAAGTATTTTTCCTCCCGGCATGCACTGTGACACTATGTTTGTGAGCCATGAGGAAAGGTGCATTTAATGCCACTGTAAATGTAATCTAATTTTCAATTAATGTTTTTATTGTGTAAACTGTTTCCCAAAATTCGGCTATCAGCTGTAATTGGTTGTATTATTGATGAACACCTCAGATCACTTTTTTTATTACTATATCTGCTCAAATTTTCTATTATCACAATATTTTCAACCAACAGCTAACAAAATAAAACCACTTATTCAGTAGAAAAGGATGACTGTTGTTGAAATTAACGCCTAAACTTGGCAGCGATCATGATATTGTTTATGTATCAATGTAGCCATTGATCCATCCAGTCATAATAGGCATTATTCATACAGCACCTTTTTCCTTGCATCCCCGTACCAAAGACACCAAGGTATCTCTTTAAAAGAGATAAATTCCTATTAGTTTTCAATGCTATGTGTAGCTGTGCTTATGATGAGGCAATATTAAAAAAATATACAACCGTACAACAATGAAGATGTTCACAAGCTCATAATATGTTAACAGGGAGCAGTTAGATAAGTTTAATATGTTGAGAGTACACGGCCATGAAGATAAAGAGACAATAGAGATTAAAAAAAGAGCTGGTAATTTTAAAGAAAATAAGCAATTTGTGATGGTTCAAGATATGAACACATATGCGTATTCTCTTTTTACTCTCTTTAGACTGTAATTGTGTAGTTTATCTTACATTTCATTTTGTGCTATATAGAGTCCCCCATGCTTTGTTTCAGTCTGGGTTTTAATTTATCTTAATTTACCTTTCCAGAGACAAGTTTTAATATCCACGGCATGTTTACTTTCAGAACTCCTCATTCCCCATTAATCTCCAAGTCAAAGATAAGCAGGTTTTTGCCTGTAGTACATGATGAATCTATGGAGGGCAAATGCCTTTATCTCAGTCAGGCCTGAATTAGCAGAAACCTAGGCCTGCTGGGCAAATTAATAAAGTTCAGCCACATACCACGTGTTTCCATTCAAAGACTCTTTAGTTAAGTTTGTATAGAATGACATTGAGCGGTGTTACTGGATGAGATGTTCTCACTTGAAACAAACATAAGTGTTCAGACTCTGCATTTTGTGCTCCAGATAGAGCAGTTTTCTACCTTCCTTCAAAGAACAGGGCCAGGCCTTCTCCCTGCCCCCGTGCTGTGGCCTAGTTCAGCTTCTATACAGGGACTCCATCTGCACTGAAGTGACACCAAAGCACAAGAGACCCACCAGTGGAGCTAATTGTGACAGATTCTGCTACTTTTTGAGTCGGAGGAAATCTAAACTAGCCTATTTTTCTCTGAGCACGCTAAATGCTGGGGGGGCTGAGATGCAGTGCATTTAAAAATGTTAAATTGCTGAAGTTCATCTAGTAGTGCTTTTGATTGTAAGACACAGTGAGGAATCAACACACAGCAATCACTGGAAATTTGATTTCCTGCTGTGCCTAGTTTCATAAATGAGACATCCCAGAGTGAATTTCTGTCAGAGAATCACTCACAGTCTGATTCGGTAGACTATCTTGTCTTGTCAAGAGAGTCATGCAGACTGAGCCTTTCTTTTTGATAGCCGGACATTGATTTCAGCATCAAAGCTCTTGTGTATTCAAATTATAGCCCCCCCCTCCTTCCCGTGTTCACCATAGGTGCTGATGATATATTATTCTCTTTAATGAAGGAGTTGACCTTCGGTTATCTTACAGACCCTGCTGGCCTATGACAGAGCATCAAAGTCCTAATCTGGTTCTGACATTTGCAATAAAACTTTTCCCATTTTGTCAAGAACTCTGGTTTTCATTTTGATGAAAAGACTATAAGAAATTGTTTTTTATTTTTTTCGCGTGTTGACAAATGAAAAATCACTGTTCTTATGTGTTCCATCTTAACACATCTGGCACACTTGGTGGCTGCTGCTCGTTTTTGATAGTCTGAAATAAATGCCTCTGCATCCGGTTTACTCTCATATCTGCTTGAAAGTCATAGCAATAAAAGAACAAATCCCCTGTAAAGAAATTTGTTTTGCTTCAAATCTTGTCCACCCACCAGCTCCCTTTGAGCTGAAAGATCTCCATTTGTACGTTTTGTTTATAGGACACTTCAGCTTGATGAGGTCTCCTGGAAAGAAATGAGATTTCTAATACGTTTTCTCCGTTTGATTTGAATGTTTTTGTCCCTTCTTTGGCTTTATAGATCTTTATTTTTGAGAACAACATCTACTATCGCTCTAAGGTGGAGAGCCGCTCCATTCGTCTGGTGTCAACTGGCAAAGAAGGAACCATCTTCAATGGGCTCAGCGACTGGCTGTATGAAGGTAATGCCAAACATGCCTTTTTGTCCTCTCTGAAAACTGTGATTCTTGCAGCAATGCTGGAGTGACAGGATTCATAAAAATCTCTTATTTTTTAATTCCCTAAATGCAAAATAGATTACCTGATAGAAAATGTTGTGATCTGATGCAAAGAGATGTATTGAAGAGGACAAATATCAAGCCTTTTCTGTCAATTCTGTGATTATTTATTGAGTTGATACCTTATTTGCAGGTCAGAATATGTCAAAAAAGTAAAAATGAACCATTGTGGATATATCGTACAACTAAATCTGTCAAAACTTCAAATGATTTCTTTTAAGGCTAAAAGTTTAATACCAAATTTGACAGTTTTACTCCTGTCTATCTTCTGCAGAGGGATTTGTTTGTTTTTCTTTCATATGCTGCTTTGAGGAACATTTTATCCTGAGAAAAACTTGGTAGAATTCATTTATTTTTTCTTTGTTAGACAGCATTTTCTTTTTGACCTGGGACTCTTTCCCGTGGGTTTCAAGGTGAAAACAGAGAAAGATGCATTGCTCTGTTTTTTTTCCTTTGAAGCAGTTAGATTTTTGTTAGATTTGCAAAATTTTGCTGGAGAAAAAAGAATGAATCCTTTTTGCCAGCTGCAAGCAGGGTATATTGCAGCCTAAACAGAAAAGTCCAACTCAATCAGCTTCATTTTACTCGTGGCTCCCGCTGGGTTTCAGCCACGAAAACAAACAGTCACTTCTTTTTTTTTATTCAGGTCTTCGTTGTGTTGCTGCTTGGTTAAGGTTCGTTTGTGGCAGATGGATAGCTGCCAGATCTGATCACCTGCTTATTGCTCTTTTTTTCTCATAAAGACCTCACTTATGGTTCAATAAAACAAGACAGCTTGAAAGTCAGATTAGATCTGCTGGTGGATGATGAGGTCATAATCATCAAATGCTGCTCTACATTAAAAAAACCTGCATAGAGATTTAGACATCACCCACTACTTAGATATAGGAGGGCCCATACCTTTTCTAAACTATGCTAAGCTAACCATTGCTGGCTATAGCGTTAAATGGACACTTCCGGTCTTGCTTTGACCTTAGACCTTTGTAGGAGTTCAGGCTTGTTGGTATACAACTGCATTACCCCAGAGCCACAGCAGAATGTTTGGTATGTAGCACCTCATTTCCTGCAGGTAAATTACAAATGAATATTCCGTTCATTTGCTTGTGCTTTACATGGCCCAGAAAATGAATAAATGTTCTACATGAGTTATTTTGCATTAATTCGGCAGCTGTGTGTGTGTGTGTGTGTGTGTGGCTCCTACACCGTCATAAAGATATCACATTGCTCTTCAAGCATCAGCACCGCCAATCAAAGCTCACTGGCGCGCCATCTAAACCGGGACAGGGGCCGCGTTCGCGTTCGCGTTTGGCTAATGAATTCATATCTGCCGCACTGGGTGCTCGCCCTGCTTCAGTGGAAGAGCGTTACAAAAACAGGAGGGGGGGGTGCACAAAGCAGCAGATGCAAAAGCACAGCAAAGCAAGCTGCAGCCACACAGATCCGTTCGACGGGGTTCATTTTGGCTTCTTGGGCTGAAGACGCCATGACACCGAAGTGGTGCGAAGCCACAGGTGCATAGCGCAGCTGTTGTCCACCCAAAGCTTCTCTCATCTGCATTCATCAGGCCGGTATCCCAAATCACATCCATCTTTCGAGAGCAATTTCCATCTCGGCCGTTTAAACATTAATCAGAGAGTCATAGCAGCTCTGACCCTGCGACTCAGTACACACTTCATTTATTTATGGAGATCTCTCTCATTCAGATGAATCGCAACTTAAGATCGAAAACGTGGGGGTAAAAGTTATAAAAAGAAAAATTGCAATTTTTGGTTGATATCAACTTGTTAATCACATTTTCTACAGTGCGGATGTTTGCTCAACAGGTTGCTGCGAAATAGTGATTCTAAATGTAATCAATGTGTAGGGGTTGTTTATTTCTGTGTTGGCCTTGTCTGGAGGAGAAGAAGTCTTTGTTTTAAATAGATTGTGGAATTAAAATGAAACCCGGATATACAGTATACCTTGATCTGAAAAAATAAGGGATACAGCTTAAAATAAACTTAACAGTCTCTTTAGTCTTATCTAATAAGCCAGCAGTAAGGCTTTAAAACTAAAATATTTTATCGTTGTCTACATATGTCCATAATTCCTTAAGATTATGTCATGCATCTACAAATAAGAAATTATTAAATGACAGTGGAGGACGATAGTCCATTTAAGAAAACATTTTCTTAGGTCATAGACAGAAGCCTCAGCAGGAATATTCAAACATTTTTGGTGATACATGAGCTGCCCCCTTCTGGTCATTACGTAGATTATATGTTTAGCACATTTACCTGTTGGCTACATCCTTATTTTTCTGTGATATGGTGCATGACCTTCTCTGAGAAGCCCACAATAGTTTGTGCTGCCCTATTGTTGGTCCAGTTCCTGAACACACCCATACCAGTGGTACTTTAGCTTTTAGCTGTGATTTCTCTCTGGCTCTTTCCTGCAACAGCACAATGGCTCCTTCTAGCAAACAAAAAAAACAACTAAACAATTTAGTGCAATCGGGGGAGCTGTCCTGCTCGGAGCCCTGACTTCAACCGCATCCAACATCTTTGTCCCGCGGGAGTAAGCAACCAAGCTCCAAAATCTGGTCTAAAGCCTAAAACCAGAGGAGTGGAAGCAGTGATAAGAGCCAAATAATGCCCACGGTAACACAATGACGAGTCTAACAATCACTTTTGGGCCGCAATGCCTCACAAGGAGCTCATGTCGGTGATTGATTTCTTTTTTTTTTTTTTTTTTTTACCCTGAAAGTCCTTTTTTTTTACACTGAAAGTCCTTTTTTTTATTACTATCAAAGATAAATCCTCTCTCAAAAACTGTATCTGCGAGGCTGTAAATAGATTTGGCTACGGCTCAGCGGTGATGCAAGCATCTGCAGGGGGGAGCTTAGAAGCCGTGCCAGGTTGTGTAATGTTTACAATCACCAGTGAGACTGCAAGGCACAACATTTTCCATGCTAATGACTCGGAGCTCTCCTCTGGCCAAGGTCAAGCCGAGTCCCGGTCTGCCGCAAAGGCGAAATGAGGTCTTGAGGCTCGGCTCGTTAGATTAGACGCCGAGGGGGTGAAAGGTTTGCGAAATAATCTCCCCGGGCTGCAATATCCTCCCGCCGTCCTAATTTGCAAAAATGCGCGTGTTTGTTTGAGGTGACAAGAGAGACGAAAGAGAAGGAAAAAAAGGGGAGATTTAGAAGGAAAAAAAAAAAAAAAAAGAAGAGTCCTGCTGGCTGTGCGTAGCAGCCTGAAACGCTTCAAGTGTTCCGTCATCTGTCAGCTGTCTGATTATTGAGGCAGTACTGATACTGACACATTCTGCAGCGTGATGCAGCCCCAGGAAACAGCTGTGCCGAGATAAAAAACCCACCGCCTCTTTGATTTAGGCCGTTCGCGCCGCATAGATGTTTGGCTAGATGACTGCATCCAGAGTCTTGTTTGGGAGGTTGTTTTCTGTTTATCGCTGTTTGTGTCAGAGCCTCCGGGGCACAAAGCAACCATTGAAATCAAGTCTTGTGCCGAACAGGGAAATATTATTAAAAAGGAGTATAAAATGTTGGCTCCAGTTTGGTGTGTAAACAGGCTGAAACCGATATGAAACACATGATAGGACACTTTGATATTTGACACAGAGCTGTGTTGTAAACAGCTTGTCTTTTCGAATCAGGTTGATATTTTTTTATGTTTCTGACTCAAGAAAGCCGTTAATATTTTTGTTATTTCACCATTTTTAATTTGTAATAATGAATCACCTTCACCTGACTCAGCCAGGTGAATTCTTGTGTTTTCTGGTTTCGTTTAGTGAAGTCAAAAGCTAAATCCTGTCCCGATCAAGTCTTTATTTATGTCGTCTTATCTCAAATGAGCAACATGTGGCATTTTACACTCATCATTTTTCTGTTTTTTACCCAGTTTCATCCAAGCCTCAGCTTTTTCAGCAGATGGTCTTGTGTCTGCAGAATGAATAATTGAATAATCTTAAATGATGGACTCCAAATAGAAAATGGCCTTTTAGCCCAATCTAGATTGAGGGGCACCAACAGTCTTTTTCGAAGATCATTGCTGATGACTTTGCCGTTTTCTTAGCACACACCCTCTGAATTCATGTGAAGAGAAAGTCTGCAAGTAGATTTTTAGCTCTTGTTAAATGGATAAGAATATGTTAGCCATGTACGTTAGCCACATGTTGATGTTTATCTAAGGTGTGAGCTACTTAAAAAAGCATAGCATTTTTATTATCCTGTTCTGATACATGTAACTTCACTAGAATATTTCAGTTTTGAACTGCTACTACTCAATATGTTATACTTTGGTCTCTCCTGCAATAGATCAGTGATTTCATAGTAATCTTTGAGCTGGAAATGTACCAGCTGCACAACAGATTGATTGAAAAAAGAGATTGACAAAATATCTCCTTTAAAAGCTTAATTTCAATAGGCAGAGGTCCCCTGAATGCAAAGAGTGAGGAAAGGATGAAGTGGAAACTTGGAGCAGGATCATAGTTTGCACAGATGTGTCGATAGCTTTAAAAACCAATACAAATTACACACTTCAGGAGTGGGCTCAGCATGTTCTAGGCTAATAGAATGCAAACATGGAACTCAGTGGACCAGAAGACACACGTGTGGATTTCTATTCCTTCTACAATATTTACATTGGGTCAGTTTTGACTCAAAATCCAATTTGAACCAGGTGTTCTCGATTTTGAAAAGAAATCACACTACTTTTCTTGAGCAGTAGATTGTGAAACTCAAACCAAAACACAAGGCAAGGCAGATTCTTACCTGTGATATTTATACCCCCATTTTCAGTTTTCTTCCCATTTATTATTTCGCTAATGCAATCCTCCAAAAACAGAAAGCATATTTTCCTATTCGTCACTGATGTCTTTCTTTGGACTCAGGAAGTGTAAATGAGGATCTGTAGATCTCACCTTTTCCAGTCATGTGCTTCTGTTCACGCTTAATTAGCACTTGCACCGTGTGCTCAGTGTATGCAGTCACTACTTCAATGTATTTATAGAAGCAGCTGTTTCTCAAGCATGTGCTTCTGAATTCATACGTGACAGAGACCCACTATGCCATGTCTCAGCCCCCTCTGCAGTCAAAGGGTTTTTAATCCCCGACAGACTGGAGTTCTGGCCCATCTGAGTGGAAGCAGGTGGCTGAGGAATCGATTCAAGCAGCAATATGAGCGCAGAGCTGCAGAGAACACGCACAGAATGTCGTTACACTCAAAAATACATAGAAGTTAATGGCCTGAATGTGCTGAACAACAGCACAGTTGTTTGGTTGTATCCCGAGTCACCGCTGCCCTCTGTTGGAAGCACTTATTCATTGTTTAAAAAGGCTCGGTTAACTTGATCATTAGATCACAAACTACATTTGGGTACTCCGTTGGCACATAACGAATGTGTCCGAAGGGAGGGAATTTTTTGTTTAGTTACAAGTTAAAAAAAACATCTAAAAGCCACCTGGAATGTTTGATATTCTTTATCTCATCGCTGCAGTCAGCCCGTGTCCGTCACCTTGCACTCATTATTTCCCACTGGCCATTTGACTGGTGGTGTCTCATGCATTAATAATGCGCTCCCCTCAGTGAATAATGTGCTCGGCAAAAAGGAAGACAGAGAGCACGCAGAGAGAGGATGTGCGTTCACCTTGGTGATCATGACAATCAAAAGGAAAGGAGATGCTTCGGAGAAAAATGCAAGTTAGCTCATTAAAAGTGTTTCACACACGCCCTCTTTTTGTGCTGTCACCCTTAGTCTTTCCTGTCCTAGTTTGCTTCTTTTGTTACCAAAAACAACTTTGTTTCTCTCCTTAACCAGCCAAGGTGACTGGGCACTCCCAGCTGGGTCCGGCTTGGTCCACTGCACGGGCCTTTGTTGAAGGCAGTGGAGTCCAATTTCTGATTTCTTCACAGTTTCGCGCTGTACCCCATTAGTCGGAGAAACACAGTCATGTCTCTCAGGTGTCTGCACACCAACCACATTTCTTCACAGGCCCCGCCCTGTCAGAAATACCGTTGTTTTAATCAACCAAAGTGTCCAGCCATGGAAAAACATGAGGGAACAGACACCACTAATTTTACAAATCTG